CGCAGCTTGTCGTCGACTATTGACATTGAGGTCGTACTAAGCAAGTTGATGAGAGATGTGAGCATTCAACAAGTGCAGTCAGCACCTATGCTGAGGGTGCTGCGCCAGTGTCGTCGCACAACCAGCGACGGGCGGCCCCGGATAGGCGAGCACGAAGCAACTGTTTGGCTTACTCAAGTCCCACGAACCCATACTCGCCGGGAGACAGCCATACGAAGAGATGACCAAACATCAGATCTGACAATAGCGAGATTTGCTCTTCTGAACGGTACCACGGGGGCGGCCATCATGGTAGTTTGCTTGATTTGAGGACCGGAAAATCGCCGCACTTGTTCATGTTTCCCTCAAACCCGCCGTACCGTCGGAAATCAACCGAGTGTCCTTGCGACGTTTGGTTTCGCTGAAGTTTGCGCAATCGTCGTCGTGATTTGCGGCCACCTTGCCTCGGTATGTCCCGGTCACACGGCGCTGGAATCCCAACCGCTTGAACTAAGCTGCGGAGCTGAAAGCTCAGACACACAATCTAGTGCCGTCATGGTCGTAAATCAAGAAGGCTGGCTATCAGTAGTGCTCTTAGCTGCCGACGACATTAGGCCAGCATTTTCGAAATTCCAGCCAATGAGCATGCGGCCTCACCGCCAATTCGTGTGGAGACTTTCGATGCAGATACGCCGCCAGATCCCGCAGATGACGAGACGAGAGCTCGGATCTATCAATGGATGCTAGTTTCTTGGATGTAAAGATGGTGGGTAGGGTTCCCAATGGAGGTATCGGGTCCATGTCGCCTTCGAGGCTGGGAGTTGCAGAGAGATCCACTCGGGCATATTGCTAAGCCTGCAGGATACATGTTGACATGCCAGGGACGCCCGTCTACATCAGTGTCTCGTCAGCATGCATCGTGCTAGTCCTCACCGTGGGGTAGAGGGCCCGAGTGACAACGCAAGCGCATGCTGTCCGTGGCGGAGTTGGAAGCGCCATGGTTAGGGCTGTCGAAGCGTCTCTTGCGGCAGACGGACAAGTAGCATGATGGCATACTGGACCCCACCCAGCCGTGGAACGATGCGCTGGCAAACGGTGTGGTTCATCTGAGACTGCAGGCGAGGCACAGGCGTGCATGGGCGCGTTGGCGAGGCTCTTAAGCGGGCGTGTTGGAGAGGCGTTGACGTCGAGCAGGAGAATAAGTGAAGGCAGCTCTAGGCTGCGTGCCAGCTGGCAGCGCCCCGTCTGAACTATTAACGGCAAAAAGGACATGCAGCGACGTGAGCAGTTTAGCGGAGGAGTTCGACGCTTGACACGTAGCCCACCATAGCTCGCCTGTCTGCAGATTGACGCAGGAGCTGCACCTGCGTCTCCAGCAGGCCGGATAGAGTGCGCGGGTTACTACTAGCATGCGTTTCCTCAGCGTTCGCCCTGCCATTTCCTTTTTGCGCCGTTGGTGAAGTTGTCATTTTCGCATCGCGACGGCCGCCCGCTCCTCAACACCAGGCCGAGCGCAAGGGTCTGCGCATCACCAGAAGACGCCCCGCCGCCTGCCCTGAGCGCGATCGAACGGCTATCCGAGTATCTCGAGGCATTGCAGGTGTGCGCGGCCCAGTTTCGCTTCCTCGGCGTCCCAAACAGCTGCACTGACCGCTGCCACACCGCCTGCCGACGTCACGGCCCTTAAGACGGTCGCATTGCCTCGTGCGCGCTGGACGAGGAAAGCTGGCCTGGTCGCCATGAATGCGCTGTCCACGGCCTCGCACCCTCAACATCCACCGCGCAATTGACGTCTGACGTCTGCTAGCCTGTCGCAAAAGGGTCTCGCAGCGCCTCACCTCTTGCGCCCGCCCATTGGCTCCGCCATCACCCCCGCCGTCGAATAAGAGCACGGCACTCGCCCTAACCATCGACACCGTCTCGCCCTATCCGTTTCCAGATATCCCGATCGAGGTGAGCCGTTGCTGCTTCCCATGATCTGGAAGCAAGACTGACAGTTGGCCAGACAGTTCATCACTCGTGGCGCTCCCTCGACCTTCTTCCACCGCTTCATCTTTCTGCGCCCGTCATTCTTCACCAACGTATATCTAGACGCTGTGTCATGATATTCGCCTCCATCGCAATCGCCTAATTCAACAAATCTCCGAGTAGCGCTTTCCCACTTGGGCCATCACGAGAATCGACTTTCACCCGCGCAAGGGTCGTGCACGGACATCCCGTCGTCTACCGAAACACATCAATTGGCCAGCACGCGCTGCACCGGTGCCAGAGCCTCATCTCCAGCGCGGCATCGTCGCGCGGTGTCATCGGTCAGCCTGGGCCGGGCTGCACTGTGTCTATCTCTAGAGGATACAGCGCAACGGTCCGGGTTGGCGGTTAAGGTTAGTGCCTCATGAGTCGCGCATTACCATTCACTTCACGACCAACCTGTACTTGGCGCAAGCATTCATCTGAGTCCTTTTCATTGCCAAACCCATCACCAATCCGCTTTCCCCCCCTGTTGCATCTCAGCTTTGACTTACGAACCATCCAGACTACATCACTGAGCCATGGCATCTCTGGACTTTGACCAGAAGTTCCTTGGTAGGATAGCCAAGCAGACTGAAGAAACGAGCCCATTCCTATCCAGCGCTCTCTATCAGATTCTGGGTCTGTCAGTTCTCCTAGCCCGGAGACTCATCCGCGCCCGTAAGCTTCGCAAGCTGGACACCAGTCGAGACACTCCCTCACTCTCGGCCTATCAACATATTCTCTGGATGTCTCGAGAGGGACTCTCCATACTCGAGCTATACGTACTTCCCTATGCGCAGGACAACCAGCATGGGCCAGAGTGCAGAGTGTTGAGCGTCAAGTTGCGCGCGAGCTTCTACCACATCTTCTGCCTCTTCCACAACCAACCGCCCGTCACGACCATGAACATGACAAGCACTGATCCTCGCAACCCTGCTCTTCCCCCTTTACCAATATCACCACCAAAGCATAGTAATGGACATGGTCGCAAGACAGACCCCCCGGGCTTGTCACCCCCTTCGAAGCGCGCAGGCAAACAACCAGCATTACGCGAACCCATCGACTCCATCGTGTCCGAGACATCCTTCGTCACAAATCCGTATGCAGCAGGAGGGCCAGTCGGAACACCATCACCGGGACCGACGATCAACGCGCCTCCGGGCCTCAATCCGGTTCCAATCCCGCAACCTTCCTCCTTCATACTCCCACCCCTGAACTTCGTTCCGTTAGCTAGTGGGTACTTCACCACCGCCACTCAGTACGCCACCTCGTTTCTTCCTGGCTCACATCCACTGCGTTTGTCGGTCGCGCTCGAGCACAGCGCGTTCTTGTGGGATTGTGTCCACGACCACGATGCCTCGCGGCGCGTCGCTCGACGTGCAATTAAGGATGTCTACCGCGCGCAAGAAGCAATGGATGACACTGAGTTCGAGGACGCTGCTGAGCTTGTGGGTATCCTGGGCCGCATGATGAAGCGCAAGAGCTGGGAAGGTACGCCACGCGTCGGAGGCATGGCGAGCCCCGAGCCTGTCGCACAGAATACCCCACAAGCCGATGGTGGCAGATCGGAGCCAGCAGCTAAACCTCTTACTCCTCCCAAGATTCCCAATCGGCAAAGCAGCAGAAGAGCAGCAGAGGCTCCACCACTCACAGACCCGTCCACACAGGCGCACTCAACACCTCCTACACGCAGTCGAGCGAATACAGCCAGCAAGTCTGTGCCTCGGCAGAAAGAAAGCAACGGCCACGAGACCACGCCCAAGTCGACGCCACGACGGCGTGCGGATAGTGACAGTCGCGACATCACACCCAGAAACCGGCATGTCAGTGTCGAAAGCGGTGCCAGTACAACGCCGCGGGCACAGCAGGGAGTAGGCGGCCGCTCTCCCGCCACCCCATCGACGGTCCGAACCGCGCACCGGACCTCAGGCAGCGGCGGCTCCTCAAAAGGAACACCCGTCGCGGGAACCTCAACGCCCCTAACCCAAAGCGCAGCGGCAACACTCGTTTCCGACAACATGCGCAACTCGCCTTCTCTGCGTCGCTCACCCCCAATCCCACAACCACACTCGCCCTCCTTCCCCTACGACACGCGCCTCTCGCCCTCGCAGGAAAGCTCCTACGCCAGACAACAGAGGTGACTAGTAGAGACGGGTCGGGAGAAGCAAAGAAAGATGGAAGTGCAATGGACCGACTCCATGCACGAAGCTGACCTTGTGCTCCTTCCCATGACACAGCCAAGCTCGATTTCATCGACTCCGATCGACTTCGCTGGTCAGACGTACCCTGAGTACCCGGTTCGGTTTCGGCCTTGAAGCCGCCGTCTATGGGGACCGCAAGACTGTCGATCGATAAGAGCGCAGCATCTTCCATCCATCCCTTCCCGTCGCAGAAGCTACATACGTCACGTCACGTCGGCTCGTAGAGCCCCCTCTTGATAGCCCCCATCATACCATCTCATCACCTCTTCCGCATCGCTCTTGTTACTGTATCATACCTATTGGCGTTTTCTCGGCGTATATACCTCTTCAACGACATACACATCCGTCCTGTCTGTTGGACTGTAGCATATCGGATACCACCAAAAGTCGCCCTTTGCATCTTCCGGCTCGGCGGCAAATAGTGCATAATGTCTTATTTTTCGACAACCTTGTTTCTCGTTTTCATTCATGGGCGTTTTTGTTTGGGTCGGCAGTTGCTTCGGCGAGCTGCTGATGATACCATGGCTGGGTTTGCTTTTCTGGGGGGTTTGTTACGCTGATACGTAGTTAAGACGCCTTGTTGATGTGCGCTAGACATTCGTAATTTACGTCATTTTCTGCTTTCAACAAGATGATTTTTGTGAGACACGGCATTTGAGGATGCGGTGGAGATGTATACATCATTTCATTCCTTCAGTGGCACACCACAGTGGCAAGTTCTGGTCTACACACAAGATCTCAACCTCACCATCCCTCTCTCGGTACGCTCCACTCCTGCGAAAAGCTCAACGACCAGACCACCACCATCAATCAAGCCATGCGCTCCATACGACCAACGAGCAGCTTCCGAATAGCCTTCTTCTCCTCCTTACTCAACGTCGCCAACATCTCGCCCGTAATAGCCTCCTCCTCCCCATCAGGCTTAACCTCCGCACACACACGCTCCATAAGCGCCATCTTATACCCCAGCAACTTCTCCTCTCCCTCCCCCTTTACCTCAATACCACTACGGCTCGCAGCAGACATGTCCTCAACAACATCAGTCTTCAAAGCCTCCATCTTCTTCTCTCTAAGGAAAAGGTTCCGCCTCTCCTCCTGCCTCTTCTCCAGATTCGTCGCATCTTCATACGCTGTTTGAAGAGTCTGCCAGGCTGAGTAGTCTGCTTCGGAACGGGTTTCTTCGTACCGCTTCTCCATTGCGTGGCGAAGTTTTGCTAGCTGGGCTATCTTGGACGCTTCGGAGCGGATCCAGGCTGTGCGGATGGGCTTCTGGGCGTCGAGACGGGCGCGGGCTGAGGGGCTGTGGTCGTACTGGCCTGAGATGGAGGAGAGTGGGGGAGGTGGGATGGGTAGGTTTGAGCGGAGGGGTAGACGGGCTTGGAAAGTTGGTTCATGGGCGGAGTGAGGGTCTTCTGTAGAGGCTGGGGTGGCGAAGCCGGATGTCGCGGTCGCGGGCGCGGAGGTGGGCCATGTTGCGGTGGATGATGTATGGAGCGGTTGGCCAAACGACTCAGATGAGGGCATGAAAGGCTTGCCAAATGACTGAGATGAGGGTACGAAGGGCTTGAAGCCGCTGCTCGTGCGAGTCTCAGATGGGGATGGTATGGTTAGAGGAGCTTCACACACAATCGCATTAGACGGGCGATCGAAAGGCGTAGTTCCACATGTCCGAACATCCACAAACGGCGGGCGGTTGAACGACTGAGATCTGGTGTCGAAGCCACTGTTACTAGCACGTAAGCGATCCGCAGATACCATGCCCACGAACTCTGGAGATCGGGGGTCCCAGCTAATCCTATTGTTGCTCCCACACATCTGAATGCCAGCCGGGTTGTGGAAAGGCGGCCGAGTACGTCCATACATGCTAGGATGGACAGACGGCGGGCGAGTGCCAGCCGGTGGGACAGGCCAACCAGGCGCACCAACTCCACACATGCGAGTCGTAGACCCAGTGCTGACCTGAAACGGCTTATGGTCAACAAAAGGATCAGTGTGCTTTCGCGCATGTCCAGAACCGTTACTGTACGGCGAACAACCCAAGGTCAAGTTTCCTTCTTCGTCTATCTCAGCGCTTCGCGGGTATACGTCGAACATGGGCGAGTCGATCGAGCCGCTGGATGCGTAGCGTTGCACGGTAGGTGAATGTGGAGACGGGGTGTTCTGCCAGACGTTCTTCGTGTCGTTGTTGCTTGGGTTGTGCTTCCCGTACTTCATCTTATCGCTCGTGTGGAGACGGCCGTTCGGGGCTGGTGAGAGCGACACATCTCCAACGTCTCCCTCGTGGAGTTGCTCGCGCATACGTCCAGGACCGAGTGGCGACGGTATACCCGGGGAGCTTGACACTCTAGCATCGAGTCTTCGCTGGTGCAGATTCGGTCCGCGCGGTACGATCATCTCCTCGAAAGGCATGTTTCGTGGGATGGGGAATGTTGACTGCGGACGGGCGGGAACTTGAGTCTTGGCTATGCTGGGGTGGGTATAGAAGTTGTCGGAGTTTCGCGCAATTTCTTTCTGCAGCTGCGCAGGAGACCATATGCCGTGGCTGGGTGGAGTGTGGACTGGACCGCCGAAGTCAGTACGAAAAGGTGACTCGACCGCGACGCCGGCGAAGGACTGGCGCTGAGATAACGGTGAGATATCAGAACCTGAAGATGCGGAGCCATTCGTAGCACCCGTCTCTGATCTGGGAACCGCGATATCGAGCGCCGGACGCCGGGCATACATCTCGCCAACCTGACCGAAGCGGCAGCCATCGTCCATCTTGACGGTAGTGTCGCTGGAAGGAGACTGGAAAGTGTCGTCACCCGGGCCACCGCTCATACTGCCTTCAGACCAGACTGGACTCCCTTGAAAATCTCGGCCCCGAATGGGTGCGCTGAAGTTACAGAAGTCTTGATAACCGGGCAAGTTCATCGACTGGTTGAGTGCGCGCTGTGAGCTCTCCAACGCGCGATCCCATCTCTGCGCCTCGAGTTCGTTGAACGACAACTGTGTCTCGTCGATGTAGTCGTTCGAGCTAGAGCGCTCAGGTGGTGGTTGGCGACTCTCCATGGCTGTTGCGGTGGTCGTGGTGAGCCAGTGTGTGGGGGAGAGATTGGTAGGCGCAGAAGCGAGAGAGGCTCAAGGTAAAAATGTTTGCGCGGTCATAGCTCAAAGTGAGAGTTGGCCGAATACGAATGTGGCGGCGGAGCTGGTTGTCGTGGTGAATGTGGATTGAGATTTTTAGTCACGGGGAGTGGTGAACTTGGAAGGCAGTTTCGCGTGCCGGAGAAAGAGCAGTTGCGCACAACGTGCTTCGCGAAATCCGTCAACATCAAGCGAAGTTTGCACACATTCGGCTACTCGGTCCTTGAGATAATGATACTTATTGCTAGAGAGAACCTAGCCAAATAGGTGTAATATGCAACTCTGAAGTCGTGAGTGGCTCGTCTACTCGGCTTCGCTGCAGTACCATGGGAGGAAGTAGATGAGTTGGCCTTATCGATTATGGAGTCCACAAATTGCAATCTTTGTCTCTAGCGACGTGCTCCAGTCCAATACTGTGCCCTGGCCGCCACTATAGTACCGTAATCCGTATTTTGTCGAGACTGCCCAGGTGGTCATCAAACCAACCTCACAATACCGGATGAAACGGCGGCGCAACAGCCCCATCCTTCACCACTGTCGGCCTCGCAGTCATCCCCAAAACCTTCCTAAGCCTCTGCGAGATACTCCCCTTCTTCTCCCCTTTCGCCTCCACCCCACTTCCGTCCTTCACCTTCGCCATTCCCTTCCCCTTCATCTTGAACTTCTTCTCCGACGCGCCTTTCCCATCCGAAACATTGCGAACAGGCAAGCGAACGATCGGCTTCCCCTGCTCCTCCTTCTCTTGCTTCTCAGTCTCAGCCTTGCGCTCTTCCTCCAGGATATTCCACTCCTCCTCCAGAAACACCATCGTATCTGTCTTCATCCGTTTCTCCTGATTTGGCGCGAGGCTTGTTAGATTGAACATGGCGAGGTATTCGTCGCGGATGGTTGGCCACATAGCCTCCAGAAACGCTTCTTTCGCTTCTTCTCGGTTCATATTGATGTTGTCCGACTGCTTAGCTTCCTCGGTGTTGGGAATGACGAGATAAGTGTCTTCGACCTGATCAGCTCGTCGCGTCGCGTTTTCTCTTCTCTGTCTTCGAGAGGGGCCATAGTGGACTGCAGGATTCCGCGTTTCTTCGAACCAGTATGGCTGGACGTTTCCAGTCACACTTCGTGCGAGATGGTATTCTGGGTCGCTAGCGATGCAGTTGAAGCCTCTGAGGTAGATGGTTGGGGCTGGTTGTGATGGCGATTGACGACTGGGGACTATGGCTCGGCGTGAGGGTGCGAAGGATGGGAGATCGGAAGAGGAGGAGTCTTGGACCATGCCCGGGACTTCTGGAACCATACTTGGTATCTCCGCCATTTTTCCGTTGGTGAGTAGTATTGTCGTGTAAAGGTGTCTCTATTGGATCTGGATGCCTTATTATCCCTTGAACGTAGGAGATGAACAAGTAACGAGATGAAGTGCAAGAAGATGCGGAGAGAAAGGGTCCGAAATTATCATGTGCAAATGCTTCGGTTACCCTGAGCCAAACCATGGTTCGGATACATCATACTAATACCACGCTTCTTGTTTTGTTGGGACTGGAGGGTACCTGCGTACTATGGATCCAGAGACGTCGCGGGCTAGTCGTTGGATGTGTGTTCGTAAGCACAGGGTCCTGGCTGGCTGAGCAATAAATCAAGGGTTTTGGTAGTGTAACGACACGTGAACAGAAACAGTCTGCAGCCATTAATGCGCATGTCGGTAACGAGTTTCGAGTATACTGGCGCGAGGAGCCTGCGTACTATTTCCCTATTTCACCTAGGTACCGCATGATTGTGTCAGTGATCTATGTCTGAAGGAATCATCGCGATTTACGTCGAGAGAAATCGCGATGATACCTTCCGACATAGATCACTGCCACAATCTCTCGTGCCAGGACCTCCGCGCACTCTTTTCAGATCTACGCCAACTTCCCCGGTACAAAAGGCAGTCCCCCACTCAACCCCCCATCCACAGCCCAAGCCTGCGCATTAACATAGCTAGCCTCATCACTAGCCAGGAACAGCACCGCCCTCGCAATCTCATCCGGCTGCCCTCCTCTTTGAAGTGGGTTCAACTGACCAATCTTCTTCTCGCTACCCCTCTTCCTCGCCGCATCGTATGTCACCCTGGTCATACCAGTTTCGATCAGCCCAGGGCAAACAGCGTTGCACCTGATGCCGGAGCCGGCGAGTTGGTATGCGCACGTCTGCATCAGACTGATGACTGCGGCTTTGGAGGCGGAGTAGTCTGTGGGCCCGGCGTTGGAGCGGAGACCTGCTACGCTCGCTGTGGCGATGATGCTGCCCTTCGGGTATGGTTTCTCATCCGAGGTCTTGAGCATGGCGCGCGATGCGTGTTTTGCGGCGAGGAAGACGGATAGGGCGTTGGTGCGTAGGACGTTCATGAAGCCTTCTGTGGACTCCTCCCAGAATACCTTGCCGGATGATATTCCTGCGTTGGCGAAGAAGACATCGAGGCGGCCGTAGGTATCTAGGGCTTCTTGGCAGACCTTTTGTACGGATGCCTCGTCTGCGGCATCGAATTGCCGGATGTGGACTTCGGTAGAGGGGTATAGGGTGTTGAGTTGGCGCTTGTGTGTCTCGAGGTGGTTGTCGGCAAAGTCGCATACGTAGATTGCGCGGGCGCCGTTGCGCGCGAATTGATGCGCGCTTGCGCGGCCGATGCCTATCTCTGAGTTTGCGCCTGGTAACGTTGTTAGACCATGGTTTTGTACGGGGGGTGCTGAGAATGACGGGCATACCGGTAACAATGATGACCTTGTCCTTGACGCGTCTGCTTACCATTAGCACAAGCGCGTTCAGTTACAGCTTCACGGACCATCTCCGTACTCACTGATTACCCAGGTCCCCCGCGATCTCCCTGACTCCCTTCAATCCTTCGAAAGACTCCGGCTCGGGTAGAGGTTCGGAGAGCTCTTTGCTCATTCCCTGCCGCTGGACCTTTGCGACTGCGGTTGGCATCGTGGAGGCTTCTTTCAAAGTTTTAAAGATGTTTGTGAAGTCTACTGTAGCGTTTTGATACAGATTCAACAGTTGCGAGTGTTGTGTATTGGTCAAATGGGTAGTAGAGCTTGCGGAGTCGTATGCGGAGGTTGCAGAATCCGGGGAAGATGCCGAGGCAATTCCCATTGGAGCTACACGACGTCATTGGCACTACGCCTGCATGATGGAGCCAAATGATTAGGGCAACGCTTTTGAAACTGGAAATCTTCGAGAGATGCATACCAGATTCGTTGTATATTGAGTCATTCTTAGCATGACGAAGTAGATGATAACTGTGGACCTGCATGCAATGTCGATTTCCTCTACTTTACGTACACAGTCCAGACCAAACACCACAAATCTCCTCACTCGCCATTGCCGTCCGCAGCATCCCCATTCTCTTCCGCAGCCGCCTTCGCAGCCTGCGCCATCTTCCACTTCTGCGCATTCGCCATGAGCTTGGCCAACTTCGCCGCACTCTCGTCGTCGGCCGGGAAAACGTAATCGACGTATTCCTCGAAGCTGTCGTCGTCCAACTTTCTCCTCTTCTTGACCTTGCGGGGCATCTGTTTCTCGATCTTGTCCTTGTCCTCTGCTGTTCCGTGAACGTCTTCGAATGCCTTCCACGCAGAGAGAAGCGCCACGCGGTCTTCTTTGAGGTCCTTCTCCTTGAGCCGGGTGTGCGCGCGGGTGAAGACCTCGCGAGCGCGGGATTTGGCGAGCTCGCTGATTGTTTCGTCGTCTTCGGGGGTGGTTTCGTCGGGTACGCCGAGCTCGAATTGCGCGTAGGAGAGCCAGACTTTGACGTGGTCGGTCTTTTCGAGGAGTCGCTCGTAGAGTGCGCGTGTGCGGCCGTATTCGCCTTCTTCTTCTTCGAAGTCGATGTATGCTTTCCACAGGACTTCCGGCATGTCCATTTCTTGCGTGTCGACGGCGATTTCGAAGATGCTCCGCGCACGGTCAAGGTCGTCGAGACCACGCTCCAAGTTGGCGAAGTTGATCCATGTGTGGCAGTTGGAGCCGTTCCACTCGATGTACTTGGTGTAAAGTTGCCGACAGCGGTTGAACTCGAAGAGCTTCATCTCCAGCTCAATGTAGCCCTTGAAGAGCTTGTCCTTTGGACACATGCCCAAACTTTGACCCAGCAGCTTGCGTGCAGCGGTGAGCTCTCCTTGTCGTACAAGGAAATGAGCAAAAGCCAGCCATACTTTGGCGAACGTGAAGCGCTTGTGTGGCAGCAAACGTATGCACTCTTGGTAGATTTGACGGGTTCGTTCGATGTCTTGAGAAACTGTCTCCTCCCAGACTGCGTAGAACAGCCAAAGATATATGTATCGCCTCCAGTGGCGCTTCTCCTGTGTGGGTGGTATCTGGGCGATCGCTCGCTCGTATATGTCTCGGACTCGGTCGGGGTTGCCAGACGTCTCTTCCAGTCTGGCAAAATCGATCCAGCTGTCGTAGTTCTTGGGGTTCTCTTTGATCTGCTCCTCGTAGTGTACACGTCGTTTCGACAGGATTACGTCTTCAATACCGTCTCGGTCTCCGTACTGCTTCTCGAAGGTTGTGAAGGCTTTGTGTAGGTTGACCGATTTCGATCGTGGCATACGATCCAGGGCGAACTTGTAGATAGCTCGGGCACGTTCCAGCTCTTTCAGTCTTGCCTCGAACTTCGCGTATGCCATGAAAAGTTTCTCATCCATGAAGTCGTCTCCCAGTGTTGTGACGGCGGTACCGTAGACATCGCGCACGAGGTCGCTGGTGCCGTTCTCCTCCTCAAACTTGGCCCATTTGATCCAGTTCTTGGGTTCCGGATGAACGACGGTGAAGCGCTCAAAAATTGCCCGGCATCTCTCAAATTCGCCGTGCCTCTTCTCCAACTTGATGTATGAGCTCCATGCCGCCTCCTCAGGCTCCCACTGCATCCAGCGTTCGAAGACGGAGCGGGCACCGTCGATGTTGCCGAGCGTCTCCTCCATGTAGACATACTTGTACCATAGCTTGTCGACTCGCGGAAGAATGGTAACGGCGCGGTCGAGAAGGTTACGGGCATGCTGGACATTGCGATGCTTCATCTCACTCTCAATGTATCGCAGCCACAACGGGACGGACGTTGAGTCGACATCGAGAGCTCGTTCGAAGATAGAGCGGGCACGTCGAAATTCCTTCTGCTCCAGCTCCCAGGAAGCATAGCGCATCCAGTTGTTCATGTTGATACGGTTCCGCCGCACATAGTCTTCAAACTCCTTCCTCTTCCTCCCCTGGAACTCATGCAGCTCCTCGATGTCGGCGAAGCGCTGCGTTGGCGCCTTGAGCTTCTCATCTTGACGGTCGACGGCTTCCCTCAGCAATTGTTCGGCAGATATTTGGACAGCCGCCGCGGCCTTGTTCTTGACCCGCGGGGGTCCTCGTGAGGCCTCCATGTTGGCGTTCGAATATGATGATCGAGGGCGTTATATGGGGTGTAACGGTATGCGCGTGATGGTGAGAGAGGGCGAGGCGCACGTCGGACGTGGAGGCTGTCGCGCCTGGGTCGTGTCGGAGTAACAGAGCTCCAAAGGTTCGTCCGGATCGCTCCAACCGCCAAACACGTGATCGCGGATGCCTGCGCAGTACGACTACGGTACAATAGCTTGGCGATAGCAATTGTCGTATGCAGGTCGTCGTTCTGCGATGCGACAAGATTATTCTGTAACGTGAGAACGCGACTGCCTTAGCGCAACTTTTATCCGCTGCACGCCAAGCAATTAGCACTTTCACGTCACTGTCGTCGCAACTTCTCTCTCCCCACGACACTCACCCGCGCGCTTTCACAACTCGACCGGCGGCCATCCCAGGCAACAGGTACGTAGTATACTGCACGCTCCCGAAATCAGCACTCAACCGATATCCACTAGGAGGGTAACCTCTGGCCGCCGTCGCGACTTCCCCGACACCCCCAACTGCTATTGCCTGGTAGCGACGCTGAACCGCACATACCCCGAATACCCCCAGCCCACATTCTGCCATGGCGACTCTCGAGCAAGAGCTCCTGGCGGACTTCGCAGACAGTGGTGATGAGGATGTCCAGGATCTGGAGAATGACTTCGCCGAGGGTTCTGGCGACGACGATGACATGGTCGACGAGGAGGCGCAATATCGCGAGAAGCAGCAGGACAAAGACAAGGAAAACAAGGGCCCGGCCGACATCCGATCCGCGCAGCAGCTCAAGACGAATCTGGACCCCGTCCTCAAGCGCATCGAAGAGGCCAAGGACCAGATGGACATAGTCGAGGGCGAATCGTTCGAGGAATCTCCAGAGTACCAACTCCTTACAGAAGCCAACGAGTTCTCCACACAGATCGATGGCGAGACTGCTAGCGTCCACAAGTTCATTCGCGACCACTATTCGGCCTTCTTCCCCCATTTGGAGGATCTGATCAAGAACCCTGTCGTCTACGCCAAAGCATGTTTGGTCATCGGCGGCGGACCTTTGTCAAGCATCAAAGACATCAGCCCCAAGCTGAGGCAAATCGAAGGAATGGAACCTGCCCAGGTCATGATCGTCGAGATTGAAGCCACGCGTGTCGAAGGAAGACTTCTTGAACAGACTGAACTCGACTTGGTTTCAAGCGCCTGCCATCTGCTGCTCGAGCTGCACGCCGCTAAGTCTAAGATTCTCGGTTTCGTTGAATCCCGAACTGAGCTGTTCGCGCCCAACCTTACCGCGCTCATTGGAAGTTTGACTGCCGCCCATCTTATCTCATACTCCGGCGGTATCGCGAACCTAGCGAAGACTCCCGCTTGCAATATTGCACCTCTAGGTTCGACCAAAGTCTCTGGTGCTACCGTCGGACTTTCGAACATGGGTCTGAGGCACGAGGGTTACCTGTACCACAGCGACATCATCCAGAACCAAAGACCAGACCTCAGGAAGCAGGCGCTACGTATTGTGGCTGCCAAGGTCATTCTCGCCGCGCGTGTGGACGCCCATTCCAACTCCGGCACTGCCGATATAGGTATGGACCTGAGGAAAGAGTGTGAGCGTCGGTTGGACAAGTTGGTTGAGATGCCAGCGAACCAAAAGGCTGGAGGTAGGGCTCTGCCTGTACCAGATGAGAAGCCGTCCCGCAAGAGAGGTGGAAGGCGAGCCCGCAAGGCCAAGGAAGCAACAGCAATGACCGAAATCCGCAAGGCCCAAAACCGGATGACTTTCGGCAAAGAAGAGAAGGAAGTCGGATATGGCGACTCCGTAGCAGGCATGGGCATGATCGGAGCCACAGACACCGGACGACTCCGCGCGCAACAAATCGATCCCAAGACGCGCGCCAAACTCAGCAAGAAGAACCCCGGCTGGGGCACAGACACCACTCTCGGTGCAGCTTCGTCTCTCAAAGGCTTTGGCGGAAGCGGTACGGCGACCAGTCTACGTGCCCAGGGCCTACGAACCGGTGGTGTGGGTCTTGGTGGTGCGGGAACGAACTCCATCGCGTTCACACCTGTCCAAGGCCTCGAGTTGGTTGATCCCAAGGCGCGAGAGGAAGCCAACCGTAAGAGGAAGGCAGACGAGGATAGGTGGTTCAAGGGCGGTTCATTCACACAGCTCAATGGTAGCTCGAAGGTGGATGCTGGTGGATTCAAGGTGCCGGCGCTGCCGAACAAGAAGCCTAAGACGGATACTTAGTTGGCCGTCTTGATTGTTATGGTTGTGGGGGTAATATGGTACCTGGTCAGCATATATGGCGTTTTCGTGGCATTGCAGTGAGTGCGAGTGCATTGGGCGGCGTTTCATTGTGGGATTACTCTCGATACCTATACGTTGGGACGGTGCAGGGATAGTCAGATAGTTGGAAATTCAATGTGATTATGCTCATCAAACTGTGTTTGTATCATGGTGCAAATACGATGCTGAAAATATCTCAGTAGAATACAATGACGCTCCTCCGCAAGTTTCACATATTTAGAAGGTATCCTGGCGGATACATTTCAATACGCGCTCGACTTCTAACAAGACGGACTACGCCGTATACTCCCAAGCACCTTACCATCCACCCCAATTCTCCAGGCCCACCCATTGTATTCGCATTCCATGCCACCCTGCTCCGCTTCCTCTACCCCCTCCATATCCTCCACCTGCACATCCTTCACCCACCCAGCAGCCTCCCTCAGCTGACTCAACCAATCCATCCCCACCGCCTCTTCCTTCTCGCAGGCTGCATATGCGTGATCAGCGATATGCTCATCAATCTCCCAGGGATCCGCAGACAAGATGGTGACCTTGCAGGTCTCGCAGTAGAAATTCACTCCTGAATTAAATTCCGCACTAGCGGGAGTGGAAGGAGGCGGGGAAGGGAGGGAAGCGGGGGAGGTGGGCGAAGATGTGAGGGAAGGGGGTGAGGCGAGGTCGGCAACCGGTGTGCCGTCGTGGGAGAAAGTTATTCCCTCATTGGGAACGGACGAGGGCGGGGGCGAGGGTGAGGGTGATGGCGACGCCGACGCCGACGCAGAATCCTCATCAGTGGCATCATCATACACGATGCTCTCCCCATCAGTGGCAGAATCATAGTCTGCCATGCTTTCCTCCTCTTCTTCATCCTCCTCCCCATCGTCATCGGACGTCATATCCTCATCCCCCGGAGAGTTTTTAATGACATTAAACACGTGGCCTGCCGAAGTCAAATGCCGCGCCCAGTTCGCACCAGCGAACGTGACCTCGCAGTCATCGCAATAGTGACCATATTCGTATCCCTCTTCACCAAAGCCATCATCTTCATACTCCTCCTCATCTTCTTCTTTGTGCTCTTCCCCTTCCACGGACAGCACGACAGACTCCGGTGTCGGAGCGTGAAGGTGGATATCCTCCGCATCCGCTTTGGCCTTCGCCATATTAGCCAAATGCTTCTGACACTTCAAGTGCCGAATCCAATGACTATAGGTACTAGTCCTATAATCGCAGACCTCGCAAAACTTCTCCAGTCCGCGCGCATACTGCTGGCTGGTTTTTTTGCCCTGTACCGGAGGGGCTCGCTTATCCCTCACAACATTGTCCAGATGCATACGGCCTCTTACATGGCAGCCCCAGCTGGACATCAGATATGTGCGGTCGCAGTCGCTGCAGTAGCGCTGCGGTCTCTTGTCGACTGCCTTCTTGACCATGTTCGTGTTTGGCCCCTTGCGTAGTCGGCTCCTCGCTACCTGGTTCAGATGCGGTTGGCCTTGGAAATGCCGTGTCCAGCTGGAGACATAGCGTGTTGTGAAGTCGCAGGCTTCACAAGTATACCGTTGTAGTCGCCTGGGTACCTGTACGGGTTCCGACATGGGGCTGTCGACGCTATCGTATCCCTCAACCTCCTGGTTGCCCTCGCTGGCCGTCGAACTGAACTCAGTACTTCGCGGCGACATGGACTTATCGCTAAGCAAACTCCTCCTCGCAGGACTATTGTAGTCCTCCAGCTCCTTCAACATCCTCACCGGGGTATCCGCAACACTGTTCGTAGTCTCCAAAGTCTTGGTCTCAGTCTCAAACTCCAGTACCCCCTCAGTCTTACCAAGATGCATCTCAATCCTCCTCCTCCCCCTCTCCGCCCTCCTCTTCGCACGCCTTTGAATCGCATTAACCCTACGCATCTCGCTCTTAAGCTGCCGCGCATTCCGGATCGGAGCAACATCATTATCATCGTCGGAGGAACTGGCCTCGGATTCGCGTTCGGGACCGAGGTCGAAGGTCCTGTTGCCTAGGCGGAAGATGCTTTGTTTCTGAACCTTTGTGGGGGCGATGGGAGCTGGGGTTGGGGCTGGCGCTGGCTTGGGGAGGAGTAGTATGTCGAGAAGGGCGGACGACTGTGCCGAATGGCGGTCTGTTATTTTCCACTCTTTTTGTAGGACGCTTGTGAGCATACCAGAGAGCAAGGTGTAGGCGGCCTCTTTTTGTTGGTCTAGTGTTGTGGACATGTTGAAAGTTGGTGAAGTGCTGAGGTTAGATGGGAAGAGTTGTGGTGAAGTGCCAGTTGGGAAAACGGTAGGCAGTGTGCACAAGATAAAGACTGAGCGACTATATGAAAAATTAGAAGATAGAGGGTTTCCCCTTATTTTGTATAATTCTGCTATGGTGCGTCCCACGGTACCGAAATGGCAGCCTGAAGGTGGAGGCCACGACAACCAAAGTACCACAAAAAAAAAGGGCGAGTCAACAATTTCATATTGGAAAGATATGTGCCAGTCAGAACTTACGAGGTTCCTACAAAATCGAAGTAGACACAGTAGTTTGTGTTCACCTACCTTGGTTCCCAACTCTTGCGATGATAGCATCAGCCCTTTCCATACGCTAAGCTTGCCTTTCAACGCCCTTGCATGCACGCAGACCCTTAATAATTCCATGACTCTTTGGATGCACCACGAACCATGGTTTTCTATTGCATGTTCAAACTGTGGTTGCTCATCGTATCGTCGCCGCGTGTGAAATCGCCGTACTTACAATATGGCTCTCAGTCACTCCGAAAAGCTGTTGCCTGGTATTTGTACACGTGTAGTACTGGCAGATCAGAGCGATGTTGATGAACCGCGGGAGTATTGAAATTTTCCAGTGTCCTTAAACTACGAAAATTGTCAGTGTTTGAGACGACTCAGGTTAACACAACTTGGAGTTGATGTCGAGGTGGTCAGGTGTGCGCGACCATGATTATGGAATGAACGAACAACGCGCCGATTCCTACACCGTGGATATCGCTTGGCCGACGTCTGTGCTGCTGACTATCCCTACTCATGATTCTGGGATACACCAGGGTAAAGCCGAGTCGGTTCGCGACAGCAATATTTAGTGTGAACTCAATGGCGTGAACTTATTCAGGGTCTGCAGCTTTGGGTAAGATGTGGCCACCGCACGACTCAGCCATTGTTGTGAGATCAGGCATAACAAGACAAACTGTTATTGTTCGAGATTCAAATGAACAAGGGAGAAATCCATCCCTTGCAAAGCCCGATGCATCTCGTATTGCAGCGATGATCAAGACACCTGTCGCTTCAGGCGGTCTGTAGGCGAGAGCGGGGCGGAAGGATGATGCGCAAAGCTCGCTCGGTTGGCGTTCAACTTTGTTCGAGAAGCGTTCGATGCTTTCGTGTGCGGGGGTATCCCTGACCTGGCTTTTCTGTGCACTGCGATAGACGAGATCTTACCATGTCTCAGCGGGCGCCCGCGAAAGACACTCTGCGAACGAACGACAATTCGCAGTGTTCCACAGGCTTCTCTGGCGCTGTGTTCTTGGTCGCACCGAGTGCAGACTTCCCTGCGCGCGCACTGGTAGCGGCCTGTTAGATGCACCTTGTCAGCCCTAGGACCAGGGTCTTTGCTTGTGCAACATTGGACAAGGGATTCGCAATGCAGTATCGCCTGTCGCATCGCATGTCGCATCGCAAAGTCCAACCAGCTTGTTTGGCGCGAAGGTTGTTCGGCGACAACGGTGAGGTGTCCAGTAGATATCTCGACACGTGTTGGCGGCCTCCTAGTGCTACCCAGACGGAAGGACAAGTCTTGCCGGTGATGCACCTCCTACAGGTTGGTCACACTCCGCTGTAGCAGGCAATGGCTTAACCCGATATGCGTTTATTTACCCGCAGATAACCCATGGAGGATTCCGCCAGATGTCTTCAGATACGGCGTTGTGGCTGGCATTGGAAGCCGCCCTTGCGATATGCCCATTGCGGGTAAATAGGCAGGGAGATTGAATTGGACAGGCGGAAGTTGATGTCAGCGCGCGCTTTAGATAGGACGAGGCGCGCCGCTGGCCACCCTGGAAGGGAAACCGGCCCGTAAGACGCAGTCTGGAGATCGAATGCTCGTGTGCTTGATCGTTGGACAGCGCACCATTGCACGATTGTCACATCGGGAGCTACATACGTCACCCGCAGTGGGAGCAAAGGATTGCGCAGTGAAATGGGCAGTGGAATAAGGGCAGGCTAAGAATACGCGGCATCAGAGATGTGCAAGCAGGCACAGAATGGTTCGTCGTGACGATGCAGGAGCAAGCCACCGATAGCTAAGCGAGCAGTGAGGGTGCAGAGGGTGCAAGAGGGAGGTGTTCTCGAAGAGATGCCGCTCGCGCCGGCTGGACCGGGACCCAGGTACTGCGCAATCAGCCTTAATCAAATTCTGCCAGTCCGTCGGATGAGGGTTGAGCAACGCAAACGGTGCAGTGTGGGTGGTATGGGCGGCTGCATGGTGTGTCTAAGCGGGTCAGAATGTCGCTGCACGCCGCACGAGGCTCGGCTCAGTAAGGTACTTGGGTAATGGGCAATAGAGAGGTGCAGCAGCGGACGGGACGACGCTGATTGCAGGAAGAACAGTGTGGCGGGCCCCAATGCGCAGCGCAGAGCGGCACGTGATTGGCCCGATACAGGCTAGCGGCCCTGGCATGCTGAAGTTCTTTTTGCGCTGGGGAGCGGTCTGCGCCTTTAGCCTTTTGCTGAAGAAATGCCCGCTTGCTCTGGCTGCATCGGCCTGCCGCCCTCTCGTCGCTAGAAGTGCTCCTCTGCCCAAGCTCTCCTCGGCCAGCTCATCGTCGCGCGTCGCTAGCCCGTCGGACAGCAGTACCCTGTTCGCTACCTTCCGCTCAAGCGAGACTCGCTTGTAGGCAGCTTGTAAGTAAAGTCGGTTGATTCCTTCATGGCACTGCCACATGCGCCCTCATTACCTGCTAAAGGCGGCTAGCCAGCTGCAGCCCACCCTCCACTGAGTCCACTCGCTGCCTCCTAGACGGACGAGATGAGTGAGGGATATCGCGCGCGATGCATTGAGGGGAGCGGCAGCTGGCATGCCAGGCCTCATCGTCCTCATCCTCCCCATCTATCATAATACAGCTCTTCTCTTTCATTCCCTGGACTTTGTTAGTCTTCATTCAGTCGTTCACGTATTTGTTATCCCAATCTATGTAGTGCACGCACAACTACGTGCAGCGCGGCGGCGTCGAACCGAGCGAGGCCAGGCCCCTGTTCCGCGGGTCATAACGCCTTCGCCAACTCAGCTAATCCCAGTTCCTTGCCAGGCTTGCCGTCCCTCTTCCCATCCGCCTCAAGCTTTCTAGCGCCGCCGTGCTCTTCAAGACATCCCCAAGAACTGAAGAGCGCCCCGGTGGCAGACTCCATTGCTAGCCCATGTCGCACGACTTTTCCACCCACATCTCCCAGGCGCCCTACTCGCCGGCCCCTTCGCACTTTTCCCACCAGAGCATGGCCGATCCTAACATGCAGTCGCGCCAGCAGCAGGCCGTCGCCTATCCCTCACCGCACTCGTACCCGTCGCCCTCGATGCAGCCCACGTATACCTACCCGCCGCCTCAAGGCCAGCAGAGCAACGATGGCTACCGCAGCTCTCCCCAGGGCTCCAACATGTCGCTGCCGCCCCTCAATCTGCCGCCAATACGTCTGCAGGACGGCCAGCAGCCCCAGGCGCAACCTCAGCAGCCGCCCCAGCCCATGGGCTCTCCGCTCCCACCGCCGCAGCACGGGATGCCGCAGTACTATGCTCACCCAGCGCATGCGCAGCAAGGCCCGCCCATGATGGGCAACATGGGCCCGCAATTCAATGCCATGCGATACCAGCTGCCGCCGCAGGGCGACCAGAGAGTGCTGTCTGGTGGTCGCCACAAGAAGGAGATCAAGCGTCGCACCAAGACTGGCTGTCTGACATGTCGCAAACGGAGAATAAAGGTGAGTGCATACGTCAATGGAACGCGGTGCAGACGCGACGCGATGTCAGAGGAGCTATTGCTTGTCGCTTGCTTAACCGAGCGAGGAACCCAAACTCCTCTAATCCAACCTCTCGCGTGTCAGAAGCGACCGGCTGTGCAGCAACACTGTTAGTCAGTGGGCTGCAGCACTTTGCCTCGCAACATCGCCGTTGCGGGCTGCAAATACAGCTGCGCCGATTTCTGGCAAATTTTCTGCATCGCGCACCAACATCACTACTCACCTGCTCATGCGCTAACCACCACCCCGACAGTGCGACGAAGCCCACCCCATGTGCCGGAACTGCCAGAAGAGCAAACGAGAGTGCTTGGGTTACGACCCGATTTTCAAGCAGCAATCCGGTCCCGCCCAAATACAACCTGCTCCCAACTCTGCGCCCGCACCCCACGCGACAAGCGCACCGGCGCCCGCACCTTCCTCCTCCAACTACAGCCAAAGTCCGGTACCCCAAGGGTACGCGCCTGCCTCGTCCGCGGGGTACGCGACTGCCGCTCCTGCTACGAGCGGCGAACACCAGCAAGGCAACTTCCACGCCATAGACCCTGCACTCGCGCAAGCCGACCCCAATCTACAGCCACCCCAACATTACAACGGTGTGCACCCCATGGATCCCAACATGAGAGGGCCTCCAGGCGCCAGCTACCACCCGCCTCCGCCAGAGCCCATGAAAGGTTGGTATCCTGCTCCATATCGCCATCACAGTCCTAACGCAGATTCAGGCAAGAGGTTGAATATCCAAGACATCTTTGGCATCTGCAACCACAGCCCGCCCGAGGTTCCTCAGCGGACCTCGCCAGTGCCCCGTGAAATCGACGACGAGTTCTCGCGCATCTTTATTAACGATTACTGCCAAGGGCTCGACCTCGTACTTGAGACCAACTGGTTCTCCACGAACAACAATGCTCTCAACAGAGTCTTCAGCGACCGCTCCCTACATGAAGAGGCCGCTTTCTTCACCGAGACCATCAAGTACAAGGCTACCGCCGATACCGACATGACCGGCGTCTTTAGTCAAGAGGCTCGCTTGTTATGGCACTTGTTGAGTACGTGCAAGCAGAACCTTCCAAGCACCAACGGAGCACAGCCAGAAGGCGAAGACTTTGCGATGAGAGAAACCCGTGCGCGCCTCGACGTGCTGGAAGCTCTTATGACGAACCAAAATCTGGACTCGAATCCCACACGTCAATTGGCATATCCCCCTGCGCTTGATGATGTCAAGAGGTCGCAAGTCGACTTCTGGCAACATCTCGGAGACTTCGTCCAATTCTCAGGCTCAGACAATGCCCCGCCCGGAGCAGCCGACGGCGCACTTTCCGTACTACGCGGCGTCCTGTGCATGCACGAGGTGCGCGATGCCATCTACTCCATTGCGATCGCTCGTCATTACGGTAGCCGCATTGGCGGTTTCCCCAACGCTCTACCACCGCAGGTCGACCAAAGTCCAGACAGCGACCTGAATAAGCTTTGTGTCGCTATGTCGTTCATCAGTCATGAGAGCCGTGCATCTAGCCAACAAGTTCTTGCGCGTATCTGCGACATGGCCATGTTCTCGTGGACTGCCTCGCGAATGCCTTCAAGTCACCAACAACAACAACAACAACAGGGTGGCTTCGCTCAATGACGACATGCAGGCATAGGAGCAACCTGAGAATCAAATAAAGTTGCCGTAGCCTTCGGGCCACATTAGTAAGAATTGGAAAGTCCGCGTTCATCTTTTGCATCATCTCAGCGGTGGCGTTTCATCCCCCCTTTTGCCATTTGCTGGCATTTGCGTTCGTTTATGAATTATATTCCCAGGGGCCAGAACAAACCTTTCTCATCCCCCAAATGCACGTTTTCATGATTCTCCCTTCATTGCACGTTGCATCTACCGCGTACGGAGCTGGTGGCACCTAAGCATGTATCTCTTTCCTTTGCGGCAGGCATTCACACAAGATATACCCTCGATCGTATCCTGTTCTTTCTCTTCAACTTTGGCAGACCTAGTATACAGAGGTCTGGCTTTAATCTATCTTCGTCCTCTGGACTCAACCTTTATGGAATATATGTGAAGACGGTTGCATTGCGGTATTTGGAGCTATATTTCACACGTGAGGAGAACTACAATGGCATAATTTCTCTCTCAAATATACGGAAATCGAGTGATTATTGTAGCCTTTTGGGTCTGATCGGATCTCTGCAGTTATTATGTGTCTAAGGAATAAGAACCGAGCACCCTAGAGCCTACGTTGACGTCAGGTCGCCTACTTTGCGTATTCTCGCCTTGATGTATGCTGCAGACCTCTTCGGAATTCTCCTTATATGGGGTGCGGTGGGCTGATCACGATCTCTCAGCTCTTTGGGTAACACTAGACCAGCGGTGAACCCACTCTCCTCCCATTCCCAATACGAACTCATCCGGACATGTAGCCTAGCCAAACAATACAAACCGTCCCACCCTGTTCAAAGAGAAAACACGAACACGTACTAACATTTGATGACCTGGAAGTCTGAACTACCAATGTTTAACCAAATTTCCGTTCCCAAACCCATGGATTCTGCAAACCTGTATAGTTCCATCCTCACATCATGTACTCCCCAGTTCCCATTTCTCAAATCACCCAACCGCCCCCAGACCCCTCAGCCCCAGCTAGCTCTCTGTCCTCCTTCCTTTTCGCGCAACGCAGATGACGCAACGCGACAACGTCTCCGTACGACATGGCACGAAGCGGAGAAAGTGCCGGTGGCGGAAATTAGCTTCCCACTTGTGATTGCCGATGGAGTAGGTGGAGCCGGATTGCATGGGTGCACGGCATAAGGGGGTAGAGGGAACGGAGATGAGGAGAGGGGGATGGCGTGGTATTTAGACTGGGTTTTACGGGGGTAATGGGTTAGGTTAAGGAAGAGAGATATTTGGATGGTTGGAGGATTAGTCGAGGAAGATGTGTTGTTCGAAAAAGACTTACGAACATGCTCCTAGCAGTCCTCCACTGTATTCTGTTTAAAGGACTACTGACCCAGCCTCTATTCTCCCCAAAGTCCCTCATACCACCGAACCCAACGCCAAGAAACGAGCGTGTACCGCCGCCCAACCACCCCCGTACCACCCCCCAAAAAAACCAGCCCACCGCTTCGTGTCCTCCCAGTTCCTCGCTCTCCCCAGAATACCTGACACAAACTACCCTTAAGCGAACCACTCGGAATGACCGCCGTTTTCGTATCACAGCGACACAAGAGCTTACACAAAACCCCCCTCTTTTCTTCGGAGAATATCCATAGTACCGGGTCATCCCAGCTGCGACATACGTTGTACACCTGTCGGTGTTCTCGCTCCACATGTAGCCCGATGAGACGTTGTGTAAGGAGGGTACGGGTGGATGGATGGGTGATGGCGGGTAGGTTGGCGGGTAGGATGACGGATGGGTAGCAAGCTTGATAGGTTTAAAATAGGCATAGGCGCAAATACTTTCAGCACATACATCCACAGACATTGCTGGCACTTCAATGGTGCAGGTGGAAGAGCGCTTGTGCCAAGTCTAGTATGGGTACGAAGCTAAAGCATGTGACGCAGGAAGCACGACTGATAACTCAGCTCCTCTATCCACAACACTCTACTGCACATCCATTCCCTTAGTAAACAGCAATCACCCACTCAACCCCCCACACACCCACTCCCACTCCACCCTACCACTGTTCCCCATCCCCCAAAACCCTATGCAAAAGCACCCTCGCAAACTTGCCCTCCCCAGGACTCCTCGTACACCACCCCACCCGATTCCCCCTCCTGCTATCCCTCCACCCCCCCGCATCCCCCACAACCTCCTCGTCCAAACTGCTCTCCCCCTCCGTAACCGGCCTCCCCCTCCGATCCACAATCGTGCACCCCCTCGTCCACTGCCCACTCGTCTCAACCCTCACATCCTCCTCTTTGAACTTCCACAAAGGGTTGGAAGGGCATAAAGCGTACCAGATCGTCAGGGGGTCGTGTAGTTGAAGTCCGGATTTCGTGGGGTCTTGTTGGGGGTTCAGGGATAGGTTTTTTGCGAAGGTGGAGGTCAGGAAGAGGGATGTCCATTCGGAGAGGGGGGAGCCGTGGATGGGTTTTAGGGCGATGTAGTCTTCGTACATGGTTTTGGGCAGGACGTGTAGTTCTGTTGTGTCGAGCGGGAAGAGTTTGATGGTTAGGCGCTTGCTGAGCGTTTTTGGGTAGGGTGGTAGTTGGTGCTTCTTCTGTGGGTTTGAAAGCGAGGGGGGCATGGTGAGGTGCGGGTTCGCGGATGTGAGGGCGAAGACGCGTGCGCTGGCTACGGAGTCGGCGTAGGTGTTGAATTCGGCGCCAGGGGTCATCTGGTTTCGGAGATTTAGTGAGTGGCGGAGGGGGGTGTTGGGTTGTTTGATTAGGTTGAAGGGGGGGACGGGGATGGAGAGGGTATGTGGGTGGTATATTAGGTGGAGGGGTGGGGGTGGACGACGCTGTGGGTGGTTTTTCAGGGCTGCGTAGAGCTGAATCGGATGCAAAGAAGGGTGAGATTGCAAGCTGGGAATGATTGAGACTTACGTTTCCAGGCGCATCGATTGCACCACCCATGACGACTACTTCCTTGACCTTCAGGAACGTCTCGGGATCTTGCGCAGCAGCGATGGCAAGATTAGTCAGGGGTCCAACTGCCACAATGGTAACTGTATCGGGCTCATTCTCCCTCAACAGGTCAAGCATGACTTCATGCGCGGGCTTCAGCGATGGCGTGAAGAGCGAGTGTTTCTCCTTGACCTTTTGCAGCGCCTTGGTTTCTTCAGCCGACATGTTCTTCGGCTGGGGTGTGAAGAGCGACTTCCATGTCTCTTCTGGTGAGAGATGTGGATGCTGGATTTGGTCAGTTCCAACACAGGTCTTGGTAAATATGCGTTCTTACGCTATGATGTATACCTCCCAGCCCATCGATCCCATCTACATCATGTCAGCCATTCGCTCTTCTTATTCATCTTGAGTATCTTCAACTTACGGAAGAAGTCCGCGACCATCATATGTTCCGCCAATGGCTCCTCGGCACCAACAGCAACTATCGCTCATGTTAGCACACATTCTCTTTTTCCATCATCACCTGCGATCAAAGACTCACCAATAGGTTTCCTCGCACTCAACGTCTCAAACCCCTCAGGTCTGCCATTATCCTTCCGCCACGCCCTCTCTTTCTCGATGTAATGGAACAACGTGACTACGTTGCGTAGACAACTGTTGTTTCGTTAGTCAATCCATCTCTCCTTTCTCCGACACAACACCCATCCAGCGTGTATCTCGAACCCAATTCGAATAACTTTTCTTCCACACAGAAACGAACCGTGGAAAGAGAATCATAACAAAAACAGAATGTGTAAACATACTTCTTAACCTCAACATTCCCAAACGTCAAACTCAACATCAAAATATCCAACTCCTCGCTCTTAGCCGAGAACGCCAGGAGCATAGCCAGGATATCATCGACGCCCTACCACATTTTCTATCAGCATCGAATCATTTCCAAATCACCACTTATTCCTGTTCTCATGCCCATTCCCGCCTATTTCCCCCCACCGACATTTACCCCGCACTTTAATGTTCTAGTGGAATAACTCACAGGGTCCGTATCGATGATAATCTTATTCGGCGCCATCTTATCTGTATATCTGTCGAAAAGCTAGGAATGTGGAAGAAGTGTTGTGTGTAGAATAGTTGTTTATTGGTTTGCTGTTCTGCGAATCTACCAAGGTACGTAAGTATGGATACATGTACGATTATCTAACTAGTGGCGCGCCTCGCGCCTAGAATGTCCCATGTCCCATGTCCGCCTACCCACACACCTACATACACCAAACCGCGCATGGCAGGTGTGTGTGGCATGCCGCAGCCGCCAAACGCGGAGGTCACCGATACCGACACTGACTCCACTTTGACTTTGCGGGTGGGTCCCTAACCCGTGGTCATATCTACATGGAAAAGGCGAAGTCGGAATTGGGGGAATGTGCATTTGCCATATGTATGAAGAAAATATCCCCTTTAGAACGTGCGATTCATAAGCCCAAATCGCCATCATATCACTCGCAAGTAAAGAAAACAAACGCCGGATTCGTTCCATAAATCTACACAACGTTTGCCCCCCATTTCCCAGATGCCCGGCACAAGGACAACATCCCAATGCAAGGGCTGACGGTTGGAAAACCTGGCGCTCTTTGAGAAGCCCAACATCCATTCTTTGCCTGACACCCAATTGCTGTCTAGACTGTTCTGTTCTGGTTTCGTCTTGAAAATGGGATTGCCAAACCGCCATCATCTCTCGCTTTTCCCCACCACGTTCGTTTTTCCCAATTGAATATCATATATGCGTTTATATATCGAATATAAGGCGACCGTTTCGTTCAAAAAAGCCGAAACACGTGTCGTGATGCGTGAACATGACCGAGTCTAGTAGACCTTCTTCTTCTCGTCGACGGAAAATTGGCCGGGGCCCATGTTGACCAGCAAGAGGAGACCGCCACTGAATGACGATTAGCAATGCGCGGTTCGGGACTAAGACAAGGGTACTTACACAATGGACAGGATTTGGAAGAAGTCGTATTTGGCAAAGTCCTTGTGGGGGTGGTGCGGGTGCAGTTTCCACCAATTGTTAACGTAGAGGTTGAAGACGCTGAGAATAAGCACGAGCATAACAGCCGAGAACTTTGCCTTGAAGCCCACAACCACCATGACACACGCCACGAGTCCCAAGAGACTAGCAATGATTCTCCAGAAGCCCCAGTCGCCGCGGAACACGAATCCCACAAAGAGGAAGATGAGCAGGACGCGTCCGGCGAGCTGGAAGTACATCTTCTTGTCCTTTTCGTCGAGCTGGGGAAGGCCGGCGGGCGCAAACTTCTTGCGCACCCACGAGTCGGAGAGCACCATGAGTAGACCGCCCATGACGGACAGGTTGCGCAGGAAGAAGTTGAGGTCGAAGACGAGGCCGTAGCCGATGCCCTGGAGCACCACGACGGTCATGAGGCCCGCTACGCTGTATTCGGAGTACTTTCGGAAAATGACGCCGAAGGAGCAGACGGTCATGAGGACGATGTTGACGATGAGGAACATGTGCGTGACGCCGTTCCAGACTGCAGACAGAGAGAGACCGTGTTAGCCAATGTTCACGCGCTGCTGCGAGAGGAGGGGTAGAGACGTACTGTGGCGGTAGTCGTGCAGGTACGTGAGCTGGTCGGTCCATTGTGTGATAATGCGCAGGGCATCTTCGAGGAAGGTAACGACGATGAGGAAGCGGCCGATGCCAGGGAGGTATCTGTAGCGAATTAGCCGGGTCTTGGGCGGGCAGCGTCGTGGCACCGTTTCTGGTGCACCGTTTCTGAACTCACGGCTTGATGGGGTCGAAGACAGTGTCCAGCAGGTCCTCGAGCTTGCTCGTCTGGGCGCGCAGTTGGTCGAGCGGACTGGGGTCGTTCGTGCTGTTGTCGTTGCGCCCCGAGTTGCCAAAGGGGCTCTGGTTGCCCAAATGGTAGCCAGCGGTGCCGCGTATCTGCGCCATGGCTGGTGGTGTAGTAGAGGTGAAGAGAGGGTGGGCGGCGGCAGGTGTAGAGGTGATTGGGTTGCGCTGCTCCGAACAGGTGTCCTTCACGCGATTGACCTTCGGAACGTCAGATTATGTCAGCGGCCTAACCCTTTGCGCCTTACTTTGATGTGTTGAGTCTCACTACTTTCTTCTGTTGCAGGCTAGTAAATTGCAGGGTTGGATTGCTAGCTGGCAGTTGCGCGTGATGGTGAATATATTGAATTGCGTCGTGTGGGCTGTTCCCAGGGTTGCTGCGGCGCTGGTTCCTCGGTTCGCGCAACCTACTAGAGTACTACTAAGAGGCCAGATTTCTGCTACTCGACTCTGACTATGGCGTCAGGAGTAGCAGTCGGTACGAAATACCTCCGGACCAATCTTGACTAGCTGATTCACGACTTGGCACGGGCACTTTCAACACGGTGGAGCACCGTTGTATTTATAGCTTTCACCAACGCACGGCTGTACTGCAGACACATGTGTGGGAGGTTTGTATGAGGAGCTGCAATTCAACAACTACTTTTTCTACCTGCGCGCCTCAACAGTCATTATTCCAGCGTCGGGTATTGATTGATGTTTAAATGTGGTATTGAAGTACAGGACGCGAATGCAAGAAGCCTTTGCAACAAGATCAGATGCAACCCCATACGCCGATGCTTCCATGGCCTGGATAGCAAAGCAGTGGAAGGAACCCATCCGATGATCCAGCCATACCCATGCTTACAAGGACAATCCCACCGTCGTATGAGCTATGCCCGTCCGTCATGCCAAATATGATGCTATCGTGATGAAGGTTGGAAGGGGTCAGATCAACGCCTGAAGATCTCACGTGCGCCAACAGTCATCAATAGGATAGAAATCGAAAGGTGTATCGTCGTCCAGGGTACGTGAATGTACCCGAGGTCCTGAGACCAGCTGCTGGCTGAGTCATGTTTGCCCGCTTCACATGACAGCCCAGTCATCGGCATCGTCGCCAGTCTTGGGGTTGAACTCCTCGGCAAGGATCTGGTAGCGCGAGCTGGGGTTCTTGTTCTCCTTGATGACTTCGGTTGGCCGAACTGGCTTGGCAGACTGTTGGGGCTTCGTGCTCGTGGTGACCTCGCTGAGCTCTTCAGCAAGCTCCTCGTTGACGGTCTTGCGCTTCGGCTTTCCGCCCTTGGGGACGGTGGTCCAGGCAGAGTCCTCCATGGCAAGCCTCATCTGCTCTTCCTCAGAGGGCAGGGTGCTGACAGGGGCGGAGGCCTTAGCAGCGCCGTTAGTAGGGGCGGCAGTCTTGGTAGCGGTTTGGGCAGGAGCCTCGAAGGTGTCGAGAAGCTGACCAGACGAAGCGGCCTTGGGAGGCTGGACGGCGCCGCGAGAGGGCACCTCGGTCCAGGGGTTGGAGGCGGGGGGCTTGCTCTGTCCGAGACCGTTCTTGGCCGGCTCACCGCGCGCCTCACGAGCGACACGACGCTGCTTCTCCTCGAGAGCTTTGCGCGCCTTCTCCTCTTCCTCGCGCGCGGCCTTGGCCTCCTCGACCTTCTTCCTGTTCTGGCGCTGCTTCTTGGACTCGGTCGCGACCTCGGCCTTTTGTGTCTGAGCCTTGACCGACTTGGCTGGCTTCTCGGAGGGCTTGATGCTCATGACAGCGGGCGAGGCAGCGCGCTCACCGAGCATGTCGGAGACGTCCTTGCCGCTCGGGGCCTTGTTGGTGTAGGCGGCGGGGGGCTCGACGGCGCTGTCGTCGGCAGCCTGCTTGGGAGCGGCTTGCGAGATGGTCGCAGCGGCCTTGTTGCCGGCATCCTGGACGGCCGTCTTGACCGACTTGCGAGGGGCCTTGGGCTTTGCAGCCTTCTGTGCCTTGGGCTTCTTCTCTGGGGTGTCCCAGCTGACTGCCTCCTTGAGCGAGCTGGTCGTTGACTTGCCCGTGGTCGAGCGTCCTCGGGTATCCGCCGTGTTGCCCTGGTGCATGTAGTACCAGTAGGCGGCGCCTCCAATGGCCAGGAACACGACCCAGCTCATCCACGGCTCCATGATGCAAGACGTGTGGTATGCAACGCTTCGAGGGTGCGGTGGTGACTACTGCAAGACGTCCAATGTCAACACGGTACGATGGGGCAATGAGTTGGGGTGGAAGTGGCAGGCAGGTGAGGGCAGTAGGATGACGGAGTATAGGGAGAAGGAAAAGGGGCTTACAGGTAATTGATTTTGTCTTAGCCCGGGCGTCGTAACGTGTGAAATTGACGCGTCGCACCGGCTGCTCTGCTCAACGGTTTCGATGGCGTTGCGAGAAGAGGCCAGGTAGGTCTTGATCCGCTTCGGGAGCTACTCAACCGTCGAGTGCAACCGCCGAATCGCCCACTTGACACGGGCGGCGCAGTTTGGGGGGATGGGTTGATTCACGTGCTACACATTCACATCGACTCGGCGTCGAAGCTAACAATGTAGGGCGGGAGACGGGGAATTGCTGGAGGTGGCAGAGTGAAGGCGCTCCATGTGGTAGTGAGCTTAGGAGTGCTCCCCCGTTCGGGATGCCACTAAGCAGGGGTCGACGGAGGCGCTGCAGCGGGTGAGTGCGTCACAGCAAGATGATGGTATTTCTGATATACGCCGAGTGACTTCTATTAATCTTCTTCTTCTTCCACTATGCCGCATCTCACACGCCTGTCTTGCCATCGCATCTCAACGGCTTCCTGCGCGCCCACGAACACCCCGTAAAGGACACGAAGCATCAAGCACCTCGCGCGCGGAGGGCTAACTCCGAGTCCCGACACCCCCGACGGCGGCCTCTAACGTTTTAGGCGGCTGAACACCAAGCCATTCACAAGCCACTCACACGCTATTCATCATCTGCCGCTGCGTCATTGGCATCTCGCTGATATTGCACCCTCGCACACAGCTCCATCTACTCTCTGTGCCACGCCCTTACTTTATCTAGTACTTGCGCTCGCCTGCTTAGCGCAGCAGGAGCGATGCACGTGTGGCTGTCTTGAGGAGTGACATGTGAAAGGCTTGGTATCGCCTTGCAGTACTCGACTTTAGTCGGGAATAAGAAGGAAGGGATCATGGAGACAAGCAGATGCTACTCGCAGTCTATACTGACATTATTATAGCTCCATCGTGTATATCCAACATTATCCTACAAAGCCATGAGGCCTTCATACTCATAACTCGTTATTCATCAGGCTCCAAGAATGCTAACCCAGATGCCCCATGACTTGGCTCGACCAAACCGTATCCCCGACGTCAAAGACGAAAGAGGAGGGAGAATCCGTAAAGCACCTAGATATCCGTGCCTCAACCACGCCTCTTCGCAGCAGCCCCCTCCCCACCATCCTCACACTTCCTCTTCCTCCCCCCACCTCCCACCTCGCTATTCAAACTAGAACTACGACTCATCGGCGGCGTCGCAGGCTTCATCGGGAACAAAACTCCGTTCGGCGAGATATTTCTTTGTTGTAACGGTGGCGACGACATCCTCTGTGATTGTCCTCCCATCGTCGCCGCCGCCGCCGCCGCAGCAGCATTCTGTTGCTGCATCCGTTGCTGAGCCAGCAACGCCGCCTGATTCCTCTGCGCCATCTGCATCTGCCTCGCGATATCGCCCAAACCCGGTCCCACGATATTCCTATCCCCTATGATAGTCGCGCCGCAGTTGACCGTGATATTGATGTTGGAATACCGCTTCACGCCTCTGACCTGCGTCGTAGACGTACACTCCCCCCGTGCCGTCGCCTGCGTCGTCGGACTCTCTGGTGTAATCGGCCTGCCAGCCGCATCCTCCTCCTCCCCCATCTTCCCCGTCTCAATAGTCTCACCACTAAGTACAGTAGCAATGAGATTCGCGATCCTCACGCTATCCATCTGAGCAATGGATACGATGTTTCCGTGGCCTCGAATCTGTGTTGCGGCGTTGATTGTGATTTCGGGTGTGTCGTCTGGCGTTTCTTGAGCGTCGCAGTCTTCTTCTTGGGGGTCGTACGGGTTTGTCATGTTGGGGATGGGTAAGGTGGGGTCTACGACGGTGTGGTAGGCGGGGGGTGCTGGATTGTCGTCTTGGTATGATTGGTATGCGGAGGAGTGTGTAGGCAGTGTGTTGAATGGTGTGGATGAGGGATGATTGTGGAGTGTGGAGGCTTTTGCGTTGGATACTGCTGCGGCGTTGTTGCGGAATGGGTCCATGGCATATATCAATGGATGTTTCCTTTGGCCAAGGAAATCACTTCTCGTGTCTTGGGGAAGACCGTCTGTGGGTATCGTGATCGTGGGGTTGTGGCGTGATGTTGGTGTGACGGGTTAGGCGGCGGTCATGCGAGTTCGGTAACCGTACTGGCAAATGTCGATGGTTAAACGCTTTGCCGGTAGATGTTGCGCGACCACGAAGATCGATGGGAAGATGCAAATAAACCGGTGTATGATCGTGATATGACGATGCAGTAATACCGTCGATGCAGTTTGCTACTCGGTATTGGTATCCTCTCGTCGTTCGCACAATAACTATATCCAAAGTCAGCAAAACCCATCCATCATTAAATACTCCAAGAACAACTCACATATAAACCTCAAATGCACGCACATTCACAAACCTCATTCCCCGAAGCATACCACCACTTAACCTATATATACCCACCCACCCGCTGCAGTGGACGCCCCAATCCTCCCGCGTCCGCCCGCCTTCCGCCTTATTCACGCCTGCACCCCCACACCTGAAACACCCAACACAATACCTAGCACAATAGGAAGGGACGCGCGAAAACACAAACATACCTAGTATGCGCCACACACTTCTGCATAATAGCTAGCAGCAGTTCTAGTCTAGACCCATTACCGGCAATCAAGTTTGCGTACCGAGCCTTTCCGGGATGGATCCATTGTTGCTATTGTGCTTCAATACCAAGGCAAAACGGTGGGCTAATCTAGTTTCGGACGTGAGAAAGAACGACTGGTTGATCTCGATGACGGTATGATGGGCCGCGGGTTTGAAGGATGGGAGGATTTTATTTAGGTCTGGGGTTAGCGAATGTGTGCGAGGGAACGTATGAGGTGTGTGGATGGGGATGAATGAATAATCAAATACGGCTAAGCGCGCGTGTACAGCCTTGCCGTAGCTGGAATGACAATAAGGTTGGGATCGTGATCAACGATTCGGTACTTCAGCATACCTGTATAGAGTACCTCATTGGTTGCCAGGTACCTACCTGTGTAACACAAGAATCCATCTGTCACGTTCCTTCTCTGCAACTCCCCTGGCCATCGTCACGTTCCCACATGCACCATCTGTGCAACGTCGTACGAAACCGGGTATTTATCCATGTATGCTGGTCGTTTCTTCCTTCATCAAGTACCCAGGTAGCCATCTGCGCGTTGGTTGGGTGGTGCATCACTCCTGCACCATTTCGCTTGCTATTGTGTTTCTATTGAACACGCCATGGAGTACGTAGGTACATTCACGCACGTGAGGTGCGGAGCTAGGGTACGAGAAGCGTTGATGTACGTGTAATGAGACATGTGTGTTGGCTCATGCGTTGGATGTCTAGGAGTCATGATGATCGGAGATGCAGATGGGTGGATGACTAAGTATGTGGACGGTGGGTGACGCTTTGGGTGCACAATAGGAAGATGGGGTGGGACAATAGGATGGGGGTTGGAGTGGTGCCACACATGAACAAGTTCCTTTGCGGTTTCGTGATACGAATGTGAGGCCAAAACCTTTTCCTACTACAACTGAGAACTTTTGCATCTTGAACTAAAAACAGAGTCTTGCAAACCTGATCTCCAAAGTCGTATTCGTACAAAAGCTTAACACTATCGCTCGCGAACTCCTCCGAAAGAAAAGCCACTTCGCTGCATTCCTCTCAATAAGAAGCCACGATGCTTTGACACGCCACCCACGCGCACTCCCACCGCCATGAGCGCCACGCAACGTGCCCAAATCCGGCGCTCTTCTGCGCTCACCCTCAATACCAGTCTCCACATCGACAAGAAGAGTCATGATAGGCTGAATGCGATACGAAGAAGACGCGTGGCCAAGGCAACACACAATAAGGCGCCAAGAGAACGAAGGAAGGAACAATAGGAATGCATATGCACTGCCAGCTAGTAAGTATACACTATCTGTCCTCTGTCGATCGTACGATTCCTTGTGTGTACAGGCAGGGGATATGGAGGGACTGGGAATGGGAAAAGCCGGGCTGTGCCGCATCCTCGATGGCTGAGCCAGTGCCAGTTTGTTGGAGAGTCCGCTGCCGTACCCGTACCCGTGTCTGCAAGGCAGACATGTGCCGGTGCGTGCAAACCCAGTCCATGGCACTGGTCCTTCAAAAATGGCAAAAGTCCTCCAAATGGCCTAGACGAACGGAAGTTGAACCCAGCCAATTAGGCAACACACTATGCTGCAATCCGTAAAGGACAAGAAAGTTACGTTGTTTTACAAGCCCTGCTGTCGTGATGAACACGATGTCGAGCCCAAGACGCCACGCTCCATGAAATGCGATAGAACATCAAACACCCACCGGCAGTGTCCAGGAACGGAAAAAGAATGCCGTTCGGATGGATAACTGCGATCCAGGCTGAACCCCTAACACCGATGAAGTAAACCCCTTCACAGACAACTGCAAGTCTATCACCGCTGTGGTCGGTACTGTTGGACTTCATGCTGTGGACGTTCGTGGTAGAAGAGGTTTTCCGACCAAGGCGGCAACTTCTTGTCTCGTTCGTAGAGGTAGCCACAGTTGTTGCAGAGAGTGCGTGGGCCTTTTGGACCGTCGCGGACAGCCCAGACGGCAGTTCCCCAGACCCAGCAGTGTGCGCATCTCCATGTTTGTCGCTCCCTGTGGTTGTTGTTAGTTCCAATATCACAATGCACAATGCCAGTATTGTCACATACCCTTCTTGGAGCCCTCCACCCTGCCCGCCATAGCCGGATCCTCCTTCGGCGCTTGGCGTGCCTCTTCCAACTGGGCTCAAACTCCTGAATCGTCTCTTCTTTTTACTGCGCTCGCCGCGACCCATGTTCTCTTGTCCTTCGATGTTGTTGAAGAATTCGTTGGCGGGCTGGCCCGTCATGTTTGCGGTCGAGGAGAAGCGCGCTGTCTCTCTGCGTAGTCTTCGGATCTGCCTCTCACGGTCGCCTTCGCGCTTCTCGATTTCTTCAGGTGATAGAATTTCCACCTTCGGTTCCCATTCGTCGCAGAGATGCTCTTGGTCGTATCTCCAACCTGCACCAATAGTAGGCTCTACTGCATCGTTGTCGATCTCGCCGTCGCCCACTAAACCGCCATTCTCGCAGGCTTCCTTCTTAAGTCGCAGGACTGCTTCGTAGATGCTATGTGTCATGGCGTTCACCCATTCTCCCGATAGCCCCAGATCCGCGCACGTCGTCTTAGCAAACATCTCCGCGAAACCTGGTGGATGTAATAGTGACCACTCGAACTTGTCGGTATACAATCGGTTCATGAGGTTGATGTTGAGCGTGACGATGCATCGGTAGGTATCGTCTGGGTTGTGAAGTTCTTCGGACGGCATTGCGGTCGCAGTCGCGCTGATGCCATTTGGAATACCCGCTGGCGTCTGTGCGCCGTTGGTATGCGATACGCCGTTGGTCATAGGGGTCGACGCGCCGTTCGTGGCTGGTACTTGTGGTGTGGAGGTGCCGTCACGGGACGAAGCCGGCAGTGCGGTCTTGCCGTTGGTTCCTTGAACAGCGGGCGAGTTCGCGGAATGGAACAGAGGGTGTAGCGCAACACCGGCATATTCCTCCAACTGCTGCCGAATCTGATTTGCGATTTGTGAGATTATGAGGGGCTTTCGGTCGTTTGGCAAATCTAGTTCATCGACGAACTGCTTTGCGAATTGATCGGGTGTCGTCAAAGCTTCGTGCAGGTTCCAAAGGAACGAGTCCTTGAGTCTGTACGCGGGAGTGACGTCGGGTTGTTTGTACGCGGGCAGATTCTCGTTGATGCCGAACTCTCGCGCGTTGGAGGGTGTTGGCAGCGGCGCCTCAGGCCGGAAAGCCTGAATGTCCATGTCTATCCGAATCGGTATCAACGTGACAGGCAAGACTGACTGCGTCTGGACTTGCTTCTCCGTGCTGCAGTACGTTAGCCTTCTATTGCGAGATGCGTCCCATGGCCTGTTCCTGCCACGATGCCACATACAGTGTGCGCTTCGGCCTGCCCATCCAATCTCGCCAGATTCCCTGTATATCGACTGGCGCAGTGAGCTCTTCGCCCAGCGCTGCTATTTGCGCCGTGTGGTCTGCGCTGTTCGGGTCGATCTTCTGTACGCTTCGCAGGCCTGTCGCACGTCGCGGCCGATCGCTATCCTCGAAATCGTCATCATCGTAGGCATCCTCCGCGTAGCTGAGAACGGCAGTTCCGCGTTTTGTCACGCGCGGCGCAGGGAGAGTATTCGAGGGCGGAACAATGGGCGAGATGAGCGAGTTTCCGTGGCTTCGCAGTCGCGGCGCATAACTCGACATGAAGGCCTGGGGCGGCGCCGTCTTTCCCGTACTCGTAAACATGGCTGTTGACACGGTCGATGGTCGTGTAGGAGATGTGAGGAAGCTCAGCAGAGCTCGCGAACACTAAACGCGTCGCGATGTCGACGGGGCCTCCGAATGCGGCGAATACGTCACGGGATCCGTCAGAAGGCTGGTCGATTCGCGATCACCCCTGCACTGCGACCGATAGCGAAGTCCGTTCGAATTGCGACTGCTTTTGCGCGTCCCTGGCTGGTGACGGATGCTTTCGCGGTGGTCCAGCTAAGTTGCCAAGACCCGCTAGTCCGCAAGCGTCCCAGGGTTCTCAGGGCTGGGGGCTCTTTCCAATGTCTGCCCTCCACCTCACCTGCCCAGGTGCTCACTTCACGATGCATCACAATGCCCTTGATGCGCCAGCATACACGATCGATGTACCAATCACTGCGCATTATGAACGTTTGTTGCGGCACAGCGCCATGCAACCCATGAACACTCTCAATTCATCCACATTCATCAGATCACCATTCCCACGTGCCCGAAGTCTTTCAGTCACACGAGCTCTCTACTCGCTGCCTGGGAGTGGACTCAGTGGAGTATGAATAGCAAGAGCTGGAAAATCTGAAACGCATTATGCCTTCCTTCCGCCTGGGTAACTAGTGGCGCTTAACCGTCTCCACCAGGATATTTCTTGCCGCTGTGCATC